GGGGGGGGTGGGGACTGCGATTTATAGTCCGGAAAATACGGTCGTTGTTTGGAATGCTGTAAAATTACATGTCAGACTTAAATTGTCATTTAGAACATTATCTGTATTTAATTTTGGAAGAGCAGTCATGGGCAGAAATGACTAGAACACCGTATTTATTAATAATAATAAGAACATTTATTATTATTAATTTATTGTTCCTTTTAATGCCTGGTACCACTAAAGGTGCATTATATGACTAAAAGCGCGTTCAGAAATATTCTCTGAACGCGCACTGGTGAAGTGATTTTGGTTATCACGAAAACTATGGCTAGATGTCACCTCTTGACTTAAAATTTTATGAGTTTGTTGTCATTGCGTGTGTGTAAACAAAGGTACTTTGAAGGTGAAAATATACACAATTGAATTTTCAGTGAGGATCGCACTCGGCTTCAGGGAAAGTGAAATAAGTTTCATTTTAAAATTCAGTTTCAAGTTGACTGACCTTCAATTACACAGTAATAAATTCACATTCTACAATTCAGTTTTTCAATGCAACGATTCAAATAAAACAATACAAATTTAGTTTATGTAATTCAGATTCGGCTTTTGGTGATGCATATTTTAGCTCATAAGTTCTGTTTTAAACTATCATGTCATCGGGCCTTAGTTACTATAGTTACTGCAGCACACACAGGACGTCTACTCAGCTTTTTTTTTTTTAACTTATGCATCTAATCGAGGCGCTAATGTCATTTTGTTCCACTGTACAATGTATTTTAAGGTCAAGATGTTTTATACTACAAATGATCTCCATTGCGCTCTTCCAGGATGGAAAAACTCTTCATGATGAGTTGGAAGTCATTGAGGGTATGAAGTTTGACCGTGGTTACATCTCCCCGTACTTCATCAACACGGCCAAAGGTAAGAAGCTTGCTTTTTGACCATCATAACTGCCAAACAAACTACTGTGTGATTGCCTTGAATGATGCAATATTGCCTGGATTTTCCAACTGCGCAGGTCAGAAATGTGAGTTCCAAGATGCTTACCTGCTGCTTAGTGAGAAGAAAATCTCCAGCGTGCAGAGCATTGTTCCCGCCCTGGAAATCGCCAACCAGCACCGCAAGCCTCTGGTAATTGTGGCCGAGGATGTGGATGGAGAGGCCCTCAGTACCCTGGTCCTTAACAGGTCAGTTTACTAAATAAATAAAATGACAATAAAATAATGATTAATTCGATTGATATAATCTGACATGTATGTGTTTTGTCATTTTGCAGGCTGAAGGTTGGCCTGCAGGTGGTGGCAGTCAAGGCTCCAGGCTTTGGAGACAACAGGAAGAATCAGCTGAAGGATATGGCCATCGCCACCGGGGGCACTGTAGGTCCAGTTTTCTCCCTTGTGAAGGCAATTCTGAAGAGAAAAACTAAGCATTGTAAAGTCAAATTACCCACCCCTCATAAAAACGTTAATGCATTTCAAGGAACATCCCAACTTTCATACAACAGCAAAATAACCTGACCTAACGGTAACCAATCTGTAGTATGAGCAATTGTTGGCTAGTTCTTTGAACCACATCCTCCCTACTTGTCTAACATCGTACGGTTGGCATTCCTCAGGTGTTCGGCGACGATGCTGTAGGTGTGGCTTTGGAGGACATCCAGGCGCACGACTTCGGCAAGGTGGGCGAGGTGCAGATCACCAAAGACGACACGCTGCTCCTAAAGGGCGCCGGCGCGCCGGCCGACGTGGAGAGGCGGGCGGCCGAAATCGTGGAGCAGCTGGAGAACACCACCAGCGACTACGAGAAGGAGAAACTCAACGAGCGTCTGGCCAAGCTCTCGGATGGCGTGGCCGTGCTTAAGGTGTGTGTGCCGGTCAGGAAGGCCTAACGGTCATGAATGGCACGATAACGCCAGCGTGTCTCGTGCAGATCGGAGGGACCAGTGATGTGGAGGTCAATGAGAAGAAGGACCGCGTGACGGATGCCCTGAACGCCACCCGGGCCGCCGTGGAGGAAGGCATCGTGCCGGGCGGCGGCTGTGCTCTGCTGCGCTGCATTCCCTCCCTGGACGCCATCACACCTGCCAACGCTGACCAGAAGATTGGTTAGCGAAGAGCTTACTCATTTTGTGAAACAAATCTTCTGTGTCGTGGTCTAAGCAGTTCTCTCTCCCTATCAGGTGTGGACATCATCAGGCGGGCGCTGCGCATCCCAGCAATGACCATCGCCAAGAACGCTGGCGTGGAGGGATCGCTCGTGGTGGAGAAGATATTGCAGGGCCCCGCCGAGTTGGGCTACGACGCCATGCTGGGCGAGTACGTCAACATGGTAGAGAAGGGCATCATCGACCCCACCAAGGTATGGTCTCCTTTGGATAGTGTAGCTTATCCCACTGAAAGGTATTGGGGTTCAAGCGGCCTCTCCCTCTGCAGGTGGTGCGGACGGCCCTGCTGGACGCTGCGGGCGTGGCCTCGCTGCTCTCCACTGCCGAGGCGGTGGTCACAGAGATCCCCAAGGAGGAAAAGGAAATGCCGGCTGGCGGGATGGGTGGCATGGGCGGCATGGGTGGCATGGGCGGTGGCATGGGTTTTTAAGAGGACATGTCCACCTTACCTCATCGTTCCTTTGTCCCTCCATGACTGTATAGACTAAACAAAATGATGCCTCTGAGACTCTGCAGTCAAAACTCACTGAAGACAACTAACAGGAAGTTGGCACTGCGGGTGGTCAACCCTTCCACTTTGCATACCTGGTGGCGCCAGCTTCTACGAGATCAGCTTCTTTTCCACATTGTTAATCCACAACACGCTGTAAAATACGTCGGACCACATATGTCAATGGCCATTTTCTTCCCCCGCAGGAATTCGGGAGCCAAGTTTTCAGGAGCAATGCCCTCTATGGCTTGGTTGAATGTCGGCCATGTCATGATAAAGTAGATCTCGTTCCGACAGATGAAGATTTAGGAATGATCATAACCATCAATAATGTTTATTCCTATTTGGCATTGCATTGACTTCCTGCAGTGGAAATCTGTCTCAACTTCCTGTAAAGTTCATATCTTAAAAACAAACAGAAAAAAAGTAACATTGTTTAAAAAGAAAAAAAAAAACACAAGCAGAGTGTGAAGCCAGGAATGTGTTGCTGTCATTTATTTGTCATTAATTTTTTTTTTTTTTTATATATATTGTATGTCATGGTTTTTGCCCGGCTGATGAACCAGGTGAAGGCTTATTTGATTTAATTAAACAGATTTTTCAAATGATTTAGGATTCATTGTGATTGGATACAATGCCTACAGTTTGATATGGGTACCACAAATGAGGTCTGTCCCCACCCACCTATCCAGGCCCCCCACCCGACACCCCCAAAAATCTCGATTCTGAAAAAGCATTCAACACCACTTGTTTCAGAAATTATGAAAACATCCCTTCATACATTTTGTATGTAATAAAATGGCACACTAGCAGTAAATACTCGGTACCATGTCGGCATTAATAGTGATGATTTTTCTTCGGTATATTTAATAAATCCAAATTTTTCTGTGTTCAGGTTCTTGTAACGCATATCCTGCAGGATTAATTGCCATCAATATCACAGTCATTTGTATGCCCTCAATGTAAATGCTGGACAAAGGAGGTCGCCACTAAATCAAAAACAAGTTAAATTACTCACCGTGGAATGTGTTTGCAGGGAAATGGTGGCATTTAATTACCACACTGGAAATTTTATTATGCTACTTATAATGCTCGAGTTGTTCTGGGCAGCCCGCTGCTTCTCTGTTGCAATGATTTGTTCTTCTATGGTTGTCACATTTTACTTCTTTGCTATCACTCATTTGCTGCATGCGAAGCAAAGACAGCTGTATATAATTTATGTAGAATGTGTGGCATTCAATGACATGTGAAAAAAGATGCGAGTCTCCTTCGAGGACATCTTCAAGGCTTGAACTTTACTCTACTTTATGACGACAGGATAGACTTACCATAGAGGCAGATTTATTCTTACCGCTCACACGATGCAGCTATTTTGATCCTGCTGCCAATTGAAGGGGGGGGGGGGGCGAGAAAGACAACACGTTTTTAGAAAAAAAAAAAGCTTTATATATATCATGCAGTTAGTACATTTTTGTTGCAAATGCCATTTTTGAAAACAAAATCAGTCCCTTAATCAAAAAGAAAAAAAATACACGTTTCCCTTTTTGAAAACAACCTGATGTGATATTTACACTTAAATAAATATGTGAGCAGGTTTTTAAAAAGAATGATAAATATGCGCATCGGCATACTACTGGCTTGCTTTGCTATGTTTCTTTAAAAAAATAAATAAAATAAAGGCTTCCTGATATTGCACATAAAATACTATATACTGTACAATGACACCTCTTGAGTCCAGCATGGAAATAGCTTTGCTCTGTGTAGGTAACAGCATCAACAAATGACTACCATGAGTGAATAACAACATGAGCACCCTTCTTCCAACATTTGCTGTCTATCCAAAACAGGACAATTGTAGCAAAGTGGGTGGGCAACTTCGACTCCTTTGTTGCTGAAGTCCAAACAAACATTTGATCCAGCCCACCAGGCAATTCTTGAATACAAATGAAATGAAATGGGAACTCCTGATGGGGGCAATTGAAAGTCAGCTCGTGTGCCAGATGGAGGCTCAATGCAAGTATATGGAATTAATCTCAAAGGGGGAAAAAAAAAACCTGAGAATCTGGAGAGGATGTCCTGAATGTTTAGGATTCCGAAAGCATGAAAGTCTTCAAGGCGGTGCACAAGATGTTTGGTTAAGCACATAGTGAGTCATCAAACGTCATTACCGTGCTGCACCCACACAAAGTAATGAAAACTCATCACAAATTTGGGAACGATCGGAATCACTAAAATGGACGTTTCAAACCAAAATGGATTACTACTTGTGTTATTTCAGTCACTCCTTGAGTCTTGTGGGTCTGTTTACTCTGCAGTATTCCTCCAAGTGAAAAATAGGTTCGCCATTGCCGATAGATGGCATCAAAATATTACTTTTGTCCGAATTAAGCTCCTCAACTCATTTCAATATAGTTCCCTGGCACAGAATTGCCACAAAGCAGCAGCAAAGCACTTTTTTGTTTAAATGAAGCCCCTCAACATCATCACTTGGCACCAAGATAGTGACAAAACCATAATATTATAGCTTGTGCCTGAACAAATGTAAATTGTAAATTTCCCCAGTGTGGGACAAATAAAGGATATCTAATCTAATCTAACACAAAACCAACAAATAAGAAAGAAGTCGAAAATGAATTTGAGAATGCTTAACTTCAGATATGCTGGGATACACTGGAGTCAAGATAGATTTGCGTCCCTAAATATATTGGTGAGTGAATCTGGCATGGGGGGTGAATTTCCCCATTATTTTTTGTTTGATTTTTGGTTTGGAGCAGGGGAAGCCTTCATATTTATTCATTTGACCTAAAAACGTTTACACAACAAAAGAAAAAACTTCAGTCTTTTCTCCCTAAACACACCTTCTGAGGAACAGTCACAAAAAGCCTCAAAACATGAAACCCACACATTCTGTGAGCATATCATTACCCCCACCCCCCAATATCTTATCCCCCCTGCCGCCCAAATCTTATTTTTCACCTAAACTGGCCCCAATAGGAAAACGGTTCCCCGCCTTTGTCACATGTTTTTGTCAATCTAAGCAAATCAAACCAAACCAATGAAATGTGGGATGGTATGTTTCCCGCTGGTTACCTGTTTCCAATAAAATATTTTGCTGACCTGACACCAACTTGTGATCTCCAGTGGGAGGAGCTTGCAACAAGAATGCTGATGAAGGGGGGGGAAAAAAAAGCAGGTCAAACAAGGATCTTGATGGAACAAACAAGCTGACACACAAAGTGGTGCTAAGCTTGCTTGCGTTGGTAATAAATCTGCTCTAAAACCAATAGACACATTCAAAGAACTACAAAACAAAACAAAAAAAAAAGACAAAGGCACTGGCGTTTTCAGGTAAAACATGAGTCGTTGCTTTCGTTTTCTTTGTTGTTTTCCACTCCTCCGCTGTAGCGTCGCTACGTGTGGTGAACCTCGTGGAACATGAGCTCACGCGGGATGGGCGTCTCGGGGCCGTGGACGGAGGTGGCGCGGCGCTCGAATGCCGACACCATCTGCTTCACCACCTCGTCGAAGAACACGTGCGCCAGTTGCGAATGGATGAGTGAGCGGAACTCGAAGGAGATCTGAGGAACATGGCCAATACATCTTTTAATGGGAAATGCAAAAACCCATAATGCAGTGAATGTTTAAACACAAACAGCTCACAAACTACTACTCACTTCTCGTATATTAAACATCACTATCGTAGCTCACGTGTACCATTTTAAAATGTTTCTCCTGGCACCCCAGATTCCCATTATTTGTCAGTGCCATTGGTAAATTGCAACTGAAACCAATTTTGAGAACAATAACAAAACAAAACAAAAACAAAAAACCCAACAAAGATATATCGCAACTGCTCTGACTGCAAGCTGCAATTGCAGATTGCTGATCGCTAACAACTTCTGGTGATGTAGGTCATGCATCACCATAGGTTAAAGGTGACCTGATTTTTTATTTTATTTTATAAATAGTTGTGAAAGTGCGACTGATAGGGTGCTGAGGGTGCAGTGTGCGCTAACACAAAAATACATCATATCAACACGTGTACACAGACACAAATCAATTTTTTTGTCCCCCTCCGTTTCCCTCTACAACCCTTGCGACGTCTCGGGACCAGTCCGCAAGTAACCTGTAGGTCACGATTGATGTATTGGCCACCCCCAATGTACGTGTATACCTGTCTCATACTACCCCTAAGGGTGAAGCAGCACAATGGCGACTCAACTGATGCTAATTGTGACCCAAAAAACGGTTTATTTTAATAATTTGATTATGTCAACACGGTAAAAAGTTTATAAAGTCAAATATTATACAGTGATATTTTTTATCATTAAAAATACATTGCATTTGGGGATTGGGGGGGGGCCTTGCAACGGTTTGATGGCATTCCCAAATATTTGAATAGGGAAAGATGATCTGTTTTGTTCGGAGTTAAACTAATATCTCAAGGTTTTGTTCAAATGTTTAGAAAAAAATAACCCAATTGTCATTATGTGTGGAAAAACAAAACTAGGAGCCTAATTTTAATTGAAATCAGATACAACCGGTTTTACATAACGTCTCTATTTTAATTATACCTAGTTTGAAAAAAAAATAATTGAGTGAAGGGAAATAACAGCTTTCTTATAATCTACTGTACTGTAAATTTCATGGACGATGTCAATCCATTTTTCAATGGTGTGTGATTCTAGTTTTCACCATTTCCCCCTGATGGACTTCTGATTTGCTGCTGAGAGCATATCAAGCAATTTGTTATCTTTAACACAGCAGTTGTCCTGCTGTAAATATATATATATATATATATATATATATATATATATATA